ATTCATGGAGGAGAAGTCTATCAGTGGCTACTAGCCATGGTGATTAAAGGGACCTCCACATTCAGAGGCACTCAAACTCTGAATCCCAGTACAGGGAGGCAGCATCAGGGGAAGGCCTCAGCCTCTGTGCCCTGTTTTTGGCCTTCCAGAGAAACTGTGTGAGACGGGATGCTGGACTAGAGGGAACACTGGTCTGGTCCATCAGGGCTTTTCTTAAGTTCATAAACTGTTCAACCACCAAGAGATGCCTCAGGGTGCTCACCAAATACTCTCTCTTAACCCACGCTATTCTAGGCTACTCCATTAGTACCTATCCAGTCCTAAAACCACACCTATTTAATCATTCAAGAAGAATGCCATTGAAGCAGATGAATTGCATTTTACACTTTTGTATCCTTTGCTCAATCTAGTGCTGTGCTAAGAGAATGCTTGTAAACCTTTTCTTTTTAATAAATACTTTATAAGTTTTGGTCCTGGTAGACCACCATCTTGGACATGCTATTTTAAAAGGACCACTGAAGGAAGACAGTCAGTTGACCACTGAAGGCCCTATTCCACCTATTCCTCCAGGGACACTCAAGGCAGTAAACTATCTCCATGATAACCAGGTGCTGAGCAGTGGAAGACAAAGAGGCAAGGCCTTAGTAGTTGGTTGAGAAGCTGGGAGTCCTGACTCTCCCAGCATACAATTCCTACAAAGGTCAGGTGGTGGTGGCAGGTTACCAGAGAAAGAGAAAAGCCTCTCCAGGTGTTGAGAAAACCTTGGAGGGAAAGGTGGAATAGGGCCTGCAGACCAGAGCAGGACTGTTTCGCTACAGCTGTGAAAATCCTACAGGGTCACCCTAAATCAGCTGTGACTTGATGGCACTTTCTACTACCGAGGAAATAGGATTGTAGTCTGTTGAAGTGTTTATTGTAGGTATCACTTTGTTTTTACTCCATTGTTGTTTAGCTTGTAACCCAGCTTCTACATTTTGGTATGTCATGCCTTAGACAAGTTGTTTTTTGGAGGGGGGGTGCACTGTTTTCCAATCCTGTAATCCTAGTCTGATTTTTTTTGGGGGGGGGTGTTCAACGAGTCTCACCAAGAAATGTAGGCTATAAGTGAAGTAAATACATAAATCAATCATTGCTTTAAAAAGGGGATGATAGGGAGAAACAGCTCCAAATTGCAAGTGCTGTGTGGAGGGTGGGGCATGTACATAGTCTCCCACACACAATAAAATTTTGATTGGCTGGAGCAAAATGATCCCAGGTTGCCGAAGTCCATAACCCATCAATGAATGGCAAGAACTTAAAAAAAAAAACACCTTCTACACCATAGCTGTCCAGGAACTCAGCTCATGCCTGATCTCAGTTTAATTTTAATGGTGTCTTAAAGCCTATGAATAAAGATCTAACTTGCTTCTAACAAAGTGGTTACAATCCTGCAAAAATATTACAACACCATGTAGCAACAGTGTTTAATTGTACAATATTTGAGATATTTGACCACAGATTAGAGACTTCATCTAGAGAGATGGATAAACCCAAAAGGTTGCTTGCATAGTGAGAATTTAAGTTTAGTTAGTTACTTAGTGATGAATAACTTTTGAAAACTTTCATCATTGCATATGGTTTTCCAGTTTGTATTGAAGCCTAAGTGAGATAACATGGTAGATGTGTTCATTTGTTTTGTTTTTCAAGTAAAACATACTCATGATGCTAGTCATGTAGTTCCCAGATTACAAGAACTGGCTTCAGTCCAGTACAAAATTAAATGCTCTTACTACCATTGGGCTGCTATATGAAATGAATGGGTTTTTTGTTGTTTTGTTGTTGTCGTTTTTTTGTTTGTTTGTTTGTAATCGGCTGCACTTACTTTCATGTAAGATATTTAAAAATTGGGTAGAAGGTCTGTACAGAGATTAGCCCACCCAAGCCAGTCCAGGGATGAGAGGGAATCTTGTACTTTTCAGTACATTAAACAACAAACCTCGAGAGTGTCTATACCCTCTCTGGTTTTCAGACAATTTGCCACCAGAACCTCTTTTCACTAGCCTCTGCTTTTCCTAAATAAAGAAGGCCAATGCTATGCTGGGGATTATTAGGAAGGGTATTGAAAACAGATCAGCCAATATCATAATGCCCCTATATAAATCAATGGTGAGACCTCATTTGGAATACTGTGTGCAGTTCTGGTCACCACACCTTAAAAAGGATATTATAGCTTTGGAAAAAGTGCAGAAAAGGGCAACTCGAATGATAAAAGGGTTGGAACACTTTCCCTATGAGGAAAGGTTAAGGCGCTTAGGGCTCTTTAGCTTGGAGAAACGATGACTGAGGGGTGACATGATTGAGGTTTATAAGATTATGCATGGGAAAGAGCAGGTAGAGAAAGAGGTACTTTTCTCCCTTTCTCACAATACAAGAACTCATGGGCGCTCCATGAAATTGCTGAGCGGTCGGGTTAGAACGGATAAAAGGAAGTACTTCTTCACCCAAAGAGTGATTAACACTTGGAATTCACTGCCACACGAAGTGGTGGCGGCTACAAGCATAGACGACTTCAAAAGGGAATTAGATAAACATATGGAGCAGAGGTCCATCAGTGGCTATTAGCCACAAGGTATAGATAGGGACTCTGGGGCAAGTGATGCTCTGTCATCTTGTAGAGATGCACACTTTTACTCTCCAATGGTAGTGTATGTGGTCAAGGTTAGGCACAAGACTTAGACTTGGAATGCGAGTTACAACATCAGAGACAAATTAGTAATAAGAAGGATCTTTATTCAGTACAGAGCTTATCATAGACTACCAGAGATTACAAAAATAACAAAGGCTAGGGCTGTTTGCCTTAACTAAACATTAATAATTCATAGTTACCAAGTCAGAACATCCACAGTCCAGGATAGTCCAAGGGATTTTGAAGGGAAATCCTATCTTTGCAGAACCTTGTGCTCCAGTTCACAAAGCAACTCTTTGTCTCTCAAGAGGCAACATTTCAGGTGCAATAAAACAGACAATGACAAGAGGAGGAATGGAGGGCAAGAGCAAGACAAGAGAACTTACTCCCATAGGGATCAAACAATTATACCCCAATTCCACTCACAAATTAGATGTGGTCATCAGCCAATTGCGAGTGGGCATGGGTGTACCCAATTGTTGGTTGCCATAGCTGCATGTGGGGATAGGCTATAAATTTGGGACCCCGCCTGCAGTCATCTGACCCAAACTCCAGCTACTTCATTGTGTACGTGACTTGTCGCATGTGGGCCAGAAAGTGTAGCCATGAGGTCTGGCTTTTGGCATGAAAGTGTGAAAGAATGTGGGTTTATGGCATGGCTATTGAGGCCATTTGGCCTCACCATTTGGCTTGCAACAGGAAATAAGACACAGCATGTTATCAGAAGACATCACAGGAGAAGGCATGTGAATATAGAAGCAATATTTCTATACAAGGTCTTACTGCTTTCTTCATGAGAAGAATGACTACCATTGGTATACAACTTTTAAAATAGTTTCAGAGGAGAAATAGTGATGAATATTTGGGATATGTAGAATTTAATCAAATAACATGCAACAGTTGCCTTTGAAGTTGCCATGACTTCATTGGTAACATGGCTGAATGGTAAAGAAATAAAAATGCCTATATAATCATATTTTTCAGATGCTCCAATCTTTGTGTCAAATCAAACAACGTATTATTCATGGGAAGGAAACCCCATCAATATAAGCTGTGATGTTCTATCTAACCCATCAGCTTCTATTCATTGGAGACGGGGAAAATCAGTTTTACCTGGAAGAGACTCAACTCATTTAAAGATTCACACTGCTGGAAACAAACTGGTATTAGAGGTAAGAGTTTGAATGCAGGTAAATAACCTTTTTAAATAACTTGCACCCTACTTGGTTGAAGTTGTAACTCTTTTACCACCATATCACTCTGACTAGAATTAGTACTGAAAATATTCAAGCCCTAACCCTAACCCTAACCCTAACCTTTATATTATGTCTTCTTGTTGCTTGGTGAATCATTTTGCTTCTTTTTCTGAACTGTCCAAAATTAATGTAAATATTTTTTTAAAAAACATACAAAGGTGCAGAACTTGGGGCTTTTCTGTATTCTCATTTTCCTTGCTTATGTCTTCTTGTTGCTTGGGGGGGGGTCTGCTTTGCACATGTTTTTCTCCCTCTAGTGGTTGATTCTGTATTACATCACTTTATGTCTGGCATATATTTCTGCAGATTTAAACGGCAGGTTTTTATGCCGGCCATAAAGCAATGTAATATAGAGTTTACCACCAGAGGGAGAAAAACATGTGTGGAACAGGTAAAAAGAAACTCTGAAGCAACAGGAACACACAAGTGAGGAAAATGAGAATGTGGGAAACTCCTAGTCCAGTCTAGAGCAGGGAACAGCACCTGTGTACAGAGAATTCCTGCCTCTTGCTACCACTTACATGCATTTATTTATTTATGTAAATATTTATACCTGGCTTTTCTCCCCAAAGGGAACCCAAAGCACCTTGCAATATCCTTAATTTTAACCTTGTAACAACAATCCTGTGAGGTAGGTTACACTGATTCAGCAAGCTTTCATAGCAGAGTAAATATTCTTGTCAGGGCTCATACAAATGACTGTGCATGTACATGGAAAGGTGAAAGTAGACCATGAAAACAGAGTCCTATTTAGCTTTAAGAAGGTGATAAACTCATAGTCAGATTGGGTCAGGCCCTCAAAGAGTAGACACTTTCCTAAACCTCCCACTGGTATTAATCATGACAGATTATTATTCTTCAGAATTTTCACCTGTTAAAAATGCATTCATTAAAATTGAGATAGTAATAGCTCATAAAATATTTTATTGTGTTCACATCTAACGTATATTATCTCTTAAGATTGCTCCCACATCTGACAATGACTTTGGGCGATACAACTGCACAGCCACAAACCGAATAGGAACGCGATTTCAAGAATATATACTTGACTTAGCTGGTAAGTGTATATAATTTTGTTTAACAATTTAGTAATTATATCTTGTCATAAAGCACAAAATTAATGTTCAAGTTAGCTTACAAATAAGGAAAGTGTAGTAGAAATAAAGCAAATTATTCATAAAAAGGTAAAGGTAAAGATTCCCTTGCTCGAAAGCCAGTCGAATCCGACTCTAGGGTTGTGGTGCTCATCTCCGTTTCAAAGCCGAAGAGCCAGCGCTGTCCAAAGACATTTCCATGGTCATTTGGCCGGCATGACTAAACACCAAGGCGCACGGAACTCTGTTACCTTCCCACTGAAGTGGTACCTATTTATCTACTTGCAATTTCTTGCTTTTGAATTGCTAGGTTGGCAGGAGCTGGAACTAGAGACGGGAGCTCACTCCGTCATGCAGCACACTAGGGTCTCGAACTGCTGAACTACCGACCTTCCACAGCCTACAGTTCAGCCTCTTAACTACTTGAGCCACTGCAGCTCCTTAAATTATTCATATAAAGCATAAAAAGCAAATAACTAAGATTAGTACACACAAAATCACAGTCTCAGCAAAAACACTGTTTTCTATACTGTGTTTTAAACTAAAAGTATCAGGAAAATGAACTTTTGCCTTTGCTGTAGTAATGATCATTGCAGTTGTTATAATGTCTATACATAGAGAAATTTCCAATGAGATAATCCTTGTAGTCTGTTGCAGCAAAAAAACAGTGTCTAGTAGCATCTTAAAGACTAACGGGTTTACTGTTGTACAAACTTTCAGGGGTTAGAACCCAGCATCAGCTGAATTAAACCAAACCCTTTGTATGTAGAAACTGATATATATAATTTGTGCTCATAGAGATTTTTCAGCCCAATTCTTTGGTGTTTTACCACCACTGCACTTGCCTTCCTATACAAGATATTTGATGGTTCTTCTTTATGCTAGGGCATTTGTTTGTAGCTTGTCTTCATATCTGAAGTATTAGAACAAAGTTGCCACTGGACTGAAACTTTGTTCTGCTGCTTCAGACTAACAAGACTACCCAACTGAATCTACCTTCTGAAGTACTGTGTGGGAAGTTTTGTAATATGTCCTTGTGACCTGGATAAAATCAATACCATATCTCATAAAATACTGGAATGTTCCTTTTACACTGTTTTTAGGAATTGATGGATTTTACCTCTTTTACCACATTTATCATTCAATAATTCTTAAAGGGATGTTATTCTCTGATGTGGAGAGTGATCTGAATATAACCTTATTAGTGTTAAATTCCTGTCTATTGTCTTTTTTTTTTAGAAATTAATTTAGTACTCTTTTAGTCATTGCTCAAGATCTGTTGATCAGAAGAGCGGAAGGAAGGAATATATACAGAGAGAAATAAATATAATTTTAAAAGTTGTAACACAGAAAGGGCATAATCTGATAATTATAGTTGCCTTGTGCATCAACATTTCTTGAATTAAACCTGTAGTATGTTATAGTCTTTTAACTGCATGGTTCATATTTTCTTTTGTTCAGTTTACACAAACCTGTATCCTGGGATTTCATTTCATGCATCTAATGAGCTGGGCCCTATCCTGAGAAAGCTTATACGGCAATAAATGTGTTAGTTTTCATGACTGGAGCAGGATTTTTCATTTTTACTCCATAAATTTGGATCAAATTGGTATTTTCAGAGCCAAAGTAGAACTGTATCAGAAGATGTAGGCTGGTAATGAGAACTTGTTTGTGTGATCTCAGCTTGTGGGTTCTGTGGGACAGAATTTGGAATGAATCTTGCAATAATTCAAAGAGAATAAAACATTTTTACTTTTCACTTAACATTATATCATGTAACTAAAACTTAGTTAACTTAGTAACACAACAGAATCATTTTTTAAAGGCGCATCCTACCAGGCCCCCCCACCCTTGCGGAGGTTCCAAGTTCCATGAGTCTAAACCTCACTGGGTATTGGTTGGTCTGTGATGGGGCGAAGTAGAAAATTCCACCATTACCAGGTGGCAACTCTAATCTGGAGAACCGGGTTTAAGTCCCCATTCCTCCACACACAGCCAGCTGGGTGACCTTGGGTCAATCACAGCTCTCACAGAAGAGAGATACTCTTAGGGGGCGGTCACACACACCAGATAAAGTGGGTGGGAAGTGAGGCTATTTCCTCTGGAGGAATTTGACCTGCAGTTGTGCTATCACACAGTCCTTTGAAGCTGCGGGGGCAACCCGCCACTGTGTGATCAGACACAACCGCGGGTGAGTCGGGGGGGGGGTTGCCATTTGTTTCCAATTTGCTTAAATGTGGAATTGATTAATCGCATCTCAGCACTGAGGGCTCCCTATGGAGTGTGCGATGCGCATATTGAGAAGGGGGGGAAACAACGGCACAGAGTCGGGATGGCCTGATCAGACCATCCCAATGCCTTGAGAGCGCACTGGAGTGATCAGACATGGGTAACTCCATCTGTGGTCCATAGCAACTCATTTGCTACCGAAGTCTCCCTGGTGTCTTTTTACTCTGCTTCTGCGGCGGAGCAAAACGTGTTGCTGATGGGTGCGGGTCCATTTCTGATTGCGCCCTTTAAATCCGTGCGGCTAATTGTGCATGTGATCACGCCCATAGTTACTGCGCGGCTAATTGTGCATGTGATCATGCCCATAGTTACCTTTAACAAGGTGATGAGTTACCTTAAACAAGCCTATGATTAAGGTTCAAGCTCCTCAGAGGGCAGTCTTGCTTCCCTCTTTTCCTTTTCACACATTTTGCACCCTTCTGCATCTAAAGGCTCCACCCCTTCATGGCTCATTCCATTTCTAACTAGGGATTACATATGCACAAACCACAATAAGCATCATTTACAAAACTATATGGAATAGGAATGCTGACAAGCCAACACAGACAGTAGTTAGTTTGTGAAGTATTGTTTTGTGGCACATCAATTGGGTTTCTCATTTGGTATAAAATGGGAACAATTACAACAGCACTGATTTATTCCAGCAAAGGATGTGAATGGGAGGAACAGATTTAACCACAAATCCAGGCTGTTGCAAGGTGATGATTACGTAGCTTTCTATCTGGCTTCATTTGCTGTAATCGTTCTTCATTTCTTAAAGGTTGATTATGCTGACTAAATGTCACTGTGTCTCTTTCATAAGCAATTGACATTTTCTTTATCAGTTTTATGAGAATGACCCTTAATACATACTGTAAAACAGCAGTGTCAAAGATTAAAGAATTGGAGCATTTTCTTTGTTGTACGTCGTTTTTGTGTGAGAAATTAAAGGAAAGCAACAAAAATAACTTCCCTTGGTAACTTATACACAGGGTGTTTGCCAAGCACATAGTAAACAGGTTCTTCACCATCACAAATATATACTGATGTTGGGTTATACAAGATGCTACAAGATAAAGATGTTAATATTAGTTTTAAGAACACACTATAATCTTTTGACCAGGCATGCAATATGTTTAGCATTTATTCTGTACAACATCAGATATTAGAAAATATATGAAAATATATGCCTGGAAATCTTGTAGCTGATCAAAATGCTAAAAATGTAATAGAAGTCATTTTCTGCTAGTAACTGCAGTTCTAACTTGGAATAAGTCAAATTACTGGTGAATTTGAGGTAAATGGTATGCTTCTTCCCTAGCGAACTGGTGAATGTGAGGTAAATGGTATGCTTCTTCCCTAGCCCAAAAGCTTCTCATATGCTTACTGGCCTGTGTGAATTCTCACCAAGAGCTGGGAGTAGTATTGCCAACAGGCCTGTAGCTCCACTGGGGCTTTTGGGGGCTCTGCCCCCTTTCTTAAACGCACAGCCCCACAAGAATTTGGCCTGTAAATTTTTTTACGGTCATTTAAAAACATTTTTAAAAGGTATGTGCTCCTTTAAGCAGAGTGGGGAGCTGTAGTTGACTAATTCCTGCACTGAGCAAGGGGGTTGGAATTGTTGACCTCTAGGATCCCTTCTAACTCTGCCAAGACACTGGTATCCTTTAAGAGAGCTTTTCTGCCTAAATGTTAGCTTTCTTGAGTATAGAAGTCATCACTCCCCTCCTTTCGGCTTGTTATCAGAATTGTTGCTTGGGCTGGCAGAAGTGATTAACTTGCAGCAGCTGAAAACTGCCATCTAATGTGATTGACAGCTTGCAATTTAAAGATCTATCCTAGTAACAGCTTTGTATTGGCTAAATGGCTTCTCTTTCTGCACTGAGAACTTCAGTCCCACCAGAAAAAAAATTGCCACACAAGCCACAAAATCCCGGTTACAGGCCTGCAAGGCCAGGGAGTACTGAGTGGATGGGGACACGGGGGTGGACATCAGTGACAGTGTGACATCATTTCTGGGAATACTGGAAGTGACATCACACCTCTTTAGGAATTGGTGGAAACTCTATGGAAAAAATATGTTTCTGCATTCTCACTAAGTGCTTCAAACCATTGAGTTTGGGGTGATTCCTAGAGAGAATTGATATCACTTGTGGTTTTTCTCAGAAATGATGCCAGGATGTCAGCCAAGAAGCCATTTTTTTATTTTATTTTTCTCCCACTGCCTCTCAGAGGGGAAGACTAACAACCCTAGCCAAGAGCATTATCACTCTCCTAAAAATAAACTGACTTGTATGGTTGCTATACTGCATATTTTAAGTAATACTAAAGGTGGCAGCTTTTAAACATCCCAACACTCTTTCTGCCTTCGGCCTAACCATACTTTGGTAGTTTAAATGTTGTGCATGAATTAAGTAATGAAGCCTAGTTTGCATATTTAGACCTCCTTTAAATATTAAAGTAATATGTATATATATATACCTTTGAAAGAATACAAATAATTTGCTGAACAAATTTTGTTGATGCTTGACTTGCTGATGCATGTTGATCTCATTTAGGACTATTAAGGATCTTCAGGGAATTAATTTTATTTAGAGTGCTTCCACAACACTTTGTTCTCACTTTGAACTTACATGGAAAAGCAGCTGAACTATATCATCTTTTTGGTGTTGAATTCTACACCTTCTTTAGAAAATTCATTCTGACAAAGCTATGTTGCATTTCCCAAATAATGTTTGGTCACTTTCACGATAAAGTGACTTGAAGTTCATGATGATGCATCTTGAAAAACACTGTACAAAATTTGTAGAACAATTACAAGATTCAGATAATAACTATCATAATAATCCAAAGCAAAGATGGATGGCTGCTCTTGGCTCCTCACTTGGCCTCTGACAGCTGATAGCCTTATTGTGCAGCTGTTGTGGCAAATGGAGAACTTAGATGGCTCTGCATTCTCACAATATGACATGCAGACTTTATCACAATCCCAAAGGCATTATTGCTGAGAATTGTTACAATTATCATAGAAATAAGAACGGAAGTAATATTACTTGGCCAAGAAGATGGTAGAGGAGAGCATACAACAAAGTTTGCTAAATTAAGTGAATCTATTTACATCTTTTATCACAGTTGCATTGCCAACAGAATATAATTGTATGTTCCTGCAGTGTAATTTTGCCTCAGCATAAGATATTGGAACTCTGCCAAATTTACATATTTTCTAAACTCCACCCCCTTCCCCCATTATTTTTTCTGACCATAGTATCATTGATATATTGTTATATAGTTATTGATTTTTAATTCCGTTATCTCTTCTATAGACGTACCATCTAGTCCACATGGAGTGACAATTATAGAAGTATCACAGACGACTGCTGAAGTCTCTTTCTACAGACCAGATTCACATGGAGGTGTTCCCATTCATCATTACCAAGTAGACGTGAAAGAAGTCACTTCAGAAACATGGAAAGTTGTGCTTTCCCATGGCGATCAGAGTGAGTCTGCAAAGAGAAAATACAGATGATTAATAGGGTGAATGTGAAATGAGGGTTAAGTGCTTTAGTATTTGTTTGCTATTACTGCCCAATAATTTTATTTTTGAAAGCACATTCCCTTAAATTAACTAAAATATTTTAGGAAATATTCACTAATATCAAATAGCTTTGCTTCATGCTTGTACAAGTTCCACAAATATCACAACATTTTTGAGTCTCTTTTTAAAAAAATATTTTTATTGAAAATTTTTGTATATATAAAAGACAGAAAAATAGAAGAAGAAAAGAAAAAAAGAAAGAAAAATCAAAGGAATGTATCCTTAAAATTTCCAAATTTTCTCTGTGGCAAAGCCTAATGCAAGCACATTGCTAAATGTAAAAAGTTAAACATAATCACTTACTCTAATATTGTAACCATCATCATTATTCCTTATTGTTTTCTATTATTTAAATTTCTCCTTACCCATCAAATCCACAATTCATGTATTCATTTTTTTCCCTATTTGCATGCAGAAAGTCAATAAGTGGCTTCTAGCTGGCAATAAAAGTGGATATTGTCTTTTCTTTAATCAAAGAAGTAAGTTTGGCCATTTCTGCAAATTCTAACATCTTTAACCACCATTCTTCTACTGTCGGTATATTTGTAGGTTTCCATTTCTGTACATAAAGTAACCTGACTGCTATAATCATATAAAGAAACAACGTTTCATTACTATTTTCAAGCTGTCTGTCCATCAGTCCTAAAAGAAAGGCTTCTGGCTTCATTTGTATATTAATTTTTAGAATCTTCTGTATTAATGAATGTATTTGTATCCAAAATTTCTTAGCTTTATTACAAAGCCACCACATATGATAAAATGCCCCTTCATGCTGTTCACATTTCCAACACTTATTTGACATGTTTTTATACCTTTTAGCCAATTTATCTGGAGACATATACCAACGAAACATCATTTATAAAAAATGTCTTTAAGGTTAACACTTAATGTGAATTTCAAGCCCTTTCAGCCTCATTCTTTCCCATTGTTCCATTTGCATATCACATACAAAATTCTTAGCCCATTTTATTGTAGTCTTTCTCTTGTTCTTCTGTTTTATATTTCAGTAAAAGTTTATACATTTTAGCAATAACTTGAACATAATTTGTACGTAACTCCATTTCAAATACCATCTTGTTTTTGTCAAAACCATAATGATTTAAATCTTTCTAATAATTGTGCATAGAAAAACCATTGACAATTATATCCTCCTTTTATCTAACCTTCCCTTGATTTCATCTTGCATTCACCCTGTGTGAAAAATAATAAAGCACAATAAGTTAACCATTCATGTTTTGAGTTTAAAGCCACAAATATGTTTGCCCCCCTAGCCGGAATGACGAGTCAGACAACAATATTGGGTACTAACGGGCCACTTTATTAACTACAACAAACATAATGGCACATCTTAAACAGGGATACGCAGAATGCGGCATGGCGAGGCTAGGGGTCAAAAGACCCTTCCCTCGCCATAAAGATCTAGGGCGAGCACCCAGCTCCGTAACCAAAGCAAATGGAATATGCCTTGCTTCCGGCCAGCACAACTAGGGTAGTTGCCAGGGAAAAAACCGCCCTCGAGCCGCAAGGCTCAAAGGAAGGCTAATCCCAAGCAAACCCTTAGGCGGTCTGTTTTCCCCGCCCCAGGCCGCAGAGCCCAAAGACTATACCGACTAGACCCCTAATTCCCAAACGGGTTATAAGCTGGTGCTCACCATGCCGCCATCTGCTCAGAATAACAACCTGCCTACAGAAGTGACCACCTATTTAAACTCAACCACACCCTGCAAAAAACCCTTGCTATAGCTACAGTTCAAAGTAGGCAAAAACACCCCCTCCCTGAGCCAATCTAGGAAGAGGCCAAAAATTCCTACTTGGCCCCCTACTTGGGTGATCAGCTGAAGCCTGAACTGTTAACTGGGCAGGAGGGTGGGCCGAGCGTAGCGAGAAAACTGAAGGAGGGAAGCGCGGGCCGGCAAGGAAACCTCCGGCCCCTCCCCCCTGTTAGCACCCGGATGCTCTCCTCCTCCTTGCGCCGACTTGTTCCTCGCAGGGAGGCAAAGACGGCCCACAGGAGGCACAGCCCGAGGGCTGGCCTCCCGCAAACCGGATTTTGGACATAGTTTAGATTTGTATTTATTCCATATTCTCAATATTGCATGTCTATAATAATGATTTTTTAAAGTCTACATTAACCTTAATATTTTTTTCACACCAAAGATAGCTATATCAGCTAAATCTCAGATCATGTCCCTCCAGGTCCAGTAACCTTGTATTTCTTAGCAGTAACCATTCTTTCAGCCAAACCAAATAATAAGCAGCAAAATATAATTTCAAATCGGATAAGCCCGGACGTCATCTTCCTTTAGCATCTTGCAAGATTTTATATTTAACATGTGTTTTCCCTCTTGCCAAACAAACTTAGATATATCTTTTTGCTGTTGTTTAAATGGTATATCATATGTCAACACTGGTATTGTCTGAAACAAAAATAGCATCCTGGGTAAAACATTCATCTTAATCACATATGTTCTTCTCAACAATGACAGTTGCAATTTATCCCATCTTAAAAATATATTTTAACTTCATTCAAAATGTTAACATAATTATTTTGAAATAGCATATAATTCATATTTGTCAACATAATGCTCAAATATTTCACTCTATTTTCAACCTTGCAACCAGTTGTGTCCATCAGTTCTGTTTGGTCTCGTATTTGGTCAATTTAGACACTAAAATTTCTATTCTTTTTAGGGGATCTTCTAGAATTCATACCAAATCATCTGCAAAAGCTCTTAGCTTAGAAGTGTTTTTTAAATCTTAATACCTCCAATCCTGTCATCCAGTCTAATATCTCCATAATTTCAGGCACTAAAATGAATAAGAGAGGTGATAGTGGGTAACCTTGTTCCTTTTTGAATCTTACATTCTCCATTTACAATTACTCGAGCTGTCTGTGATGTATAGACTGACTTCACACACTTCATTACATTGTCCTCAAGGTTCATTTTTTCAAGATTCTTAATTTAAAAAGTAGAGTTCAAATTATTAAATGCTTTCTCTGCATTTCTCTAGATAATCCAAAATGTCCAATATAATTCTAACATTCTTTTAACTATATCTTAGACAAAAAGCCACATTGAGCTTGATGAATAAATCCATTTTAATTATCGTCAGTCTTCCTGCTAAAATCGTTGTGAACAGCTTATAATCATTATTCAATAACGATATTGATCTATAGTTTTTAATCAAGTTAAAGTCTTGTTCCTCTTTTGGTATTGATGTTATACTATCCACTTCTGGCATATTTCCAGTTTGTAGAATATAATTCATTGTAATCTGTAATGGTTGCAGAAGTTCATCTTGAAAACACTCATAATACACTTCTGATAAGCCATCTGGTCCCAGTTCTTTTCCTGGTTTAATTTTCTTTATGGCTTCTACCACTTCCCTTATTGCCATAGGACCATTCATAATAAATCTTTGTTCTTCTGTGATTTGAGGTAAAATTTGTTTTCTAAGAAATTCATCTATTTTTTTTCTGGTGGCACACCATGATATTTATACAAATTGGAATAAAAACTAAAAATTATTTTTAATAGCCACCTGATCTGTACATAGTTTATTACTTTCATGTAATTTCCATATCATTTTCTTTTCTCTCTTTTTTCTATATATATGCCAACCATTTACCTGGTTTATTAGTATATTTAAAATGTCTTTGTTTTGCACAATTTAGTTTTACTTCCATCTGCCTTGTTGTCAACATCGAAAGATGTTGTAGAATATTTTATTTGTCAAGGAATGTTAATATTCCCTGGGGAAATTTTCATTTCCTTCTCTTTTTTTAAATTTCATCTAAAATCTTTTGTGACTTCCCTTGACCTTGTTAAGTTCTTGTTAAGTTCAGTATTATATTGTATAAATTGTCCTCTCATAAATGCTTTGTTTGTATCCCAAACCATTCTCACATCAGTATCTTTATTAAGATTAAATTCAAAAAATTCATTTATTTTTTTATATATCCCTCAACATTTTTTTCTTTTTGCAACAAAACTTCATTTAATTTCCTTTGGTTTCCATTTAAACACCAAATTTACCAGGTTATGGTCCAAAAAAGTCTTCGGTAGAATCTCTGTTTTAGTGGCCTTTATAATGAAGTTTATTCCAGTGACGTTTCTTACAGGTACAGTCTCATTCATGAAAAAGAAAACCTGAAGCTGTTAGGGAACTGTGTTCTGTCCTCTTTAGCTATGGGCCATCTTATAGATATAATTAAAGTGAGTTTAAAGGCTATCCTGTCTAGTTAAAATGCTGATTATCAGTGGGAAGTATTTTGAAGCTGAAGTCCATTCTCCTTTATACTACTGCATTCCTTCAGGGAAGATTGTGCAAGATAATGGTTTAAGAACATAGCAGACTCCATACTCCATGACACATGGGCAAAGGCTTTTGCAAAGTAAACAAGCAAAACTGAAAATGACAGCTTTCTGATTCATTTACTGTGAAATTAAGAAATTTCCATTGGGTATTGAGTCTTCTGGACTTTCCTTTTTTATAACAGTTTCTGTAATTGCAAATCAACTAAAAAGAAGGAAGTGACTTTTTATGAACATATCCACCAAAATCTCAAATCAGTGGTGATCTACTGAGGTATAATTGAAACAATAAGGTTATAGTGAAAGATGTTTGTGTGATTCATAAATATATAAAGAGTTTACCTGGATTATAACAGCTGCACATTATACACAATATGTTTGCTAGCAAAAGGCAGCCACCAGTACTGAAGTATCAGTTATCTGTATTTTGGGAAGATGTTTGCAAATATTGATAAAGAATCTATAGGTTAACATACTATTTATGTAATATTTCCTTGGAGGAAAAGCAAGCAGAAAAAAAATAGTAGAAGATCAAGGAATGTACAAAAAATTAAACATATTGATTACATTATTGTCTGTTTTGATT